CGAGAACAGGTCTCCAGCAAGACAGATATGTTTCTTGGGACCTAGAGATATTGAACATTTCTAAGTGTAAGGTCTGCACAAATACTTTAGGATATGCCCCTATTCCCTCATGCATCTGACTACAAAAATTAAAGGACGCTGGGAAAACTACAAAGACCGTGTAAGTAAAGAAGTAAATCCACTTTTTGGGAATAATTGTTGTCTCCTCATAACTGTACTCATAAAATGCAGAAGGAAAATTCATACTTTCTTTCTGGAAAGGTCAAGAGGGTCTTTAGCACAAGGCACTGGGATCACATCCAACAACAAATTGTATTTTTTTCTGCCTCTCTCAGTGTCTTACAAAGCTTGTTTATTTTCTCTTTTTATCCACTCTTAAATATGACAAGAAAAAACAGAGAGGCAGCATTTGGGATGCATTTCTAATAGAAGTTGTGAGAAAAAGCAGGGGATTGTGCAGCCCTCTTCATTAAAGAATCATTCAAGCACAACAGCAGCCTAACATAAAGCTGCATTGAATAAGCAATACAGCTGCTCAGGATGCTCAGGATTCCTCACAGGCTGCTAGTCTAAGACTCAAAACATAGAAATTATATTCCTCCAGTCCCACTGCCTTGTTTATCCTGGATTATAAATAGTTACTGAAGAAGAACAAAAGCTGCAGCTACGTGGTTTGATAATGATCTCGCTTTGCCAGGTAAAGTAGAAATGATGATGATTCAGCAGCCAGCATGTTACAGCTTTAAGCCTCATCTTCCAAAATTCATTCCGCAGGGCCATGAGTGCCGAAATATTTTCCTTTAGCCATTTAAAAGCAAGTGTCACTATACTCTGACACCCAATAGTGAAAGCAACCAACATATCTCGCAAAGATACAAGGCGAACGAGTTATACCTGAAGAATGCTGCAGATAAGGACTAAGATTTCATCAACAGAGATAAAGATTTTGTCAACAGTGTGACAAAGTTAGCTCCTCACCTAATTACAGTGCAGTCCTATTTTAAATCCTCCACTTTGTGAATGAACAAAAACATTGGTCAAGCTTTAGAGCAATAATGGAAAGAAGAAACAATGGATCTTCCCAAAACCGTGGGAAACCATGAGAGGCTGAAGATCTGCCTACGGAGTCCAGATTGATAAAAAGCTGTTTCAACTGACTGGTAGTTCAAAGGATGTGAAAAGTTTATTAAAAAAACCTGCATAAGTAAGAATAGTAAGGTGCTGCATGTTGTCCAAGATCATCTTCAGGACCTGTGACAGGAGAGTGTTGCAAGAAAAGAGTCAGAAATCACTCAGATCTGATCTAGTAGTTAGTTCATTGACTTCTAATCAGTAAATTTTGGTATGTAAAATATTTAATAAGTACAGATGGATTGGCAGTCAATACTATTTACTATACTTGAAGTTAGTATGAGGTATAAAGATTATCATGTAAGCTTACTATACATATCTTAAGTGCATCTTACATGCATGCAAAAAATGTCTCTTACCAACCCATTGATGTCTGGTGTCAGGTTAGGGGTCTCTCAGCCTTGAGGGGTGTCCCTACTCAAGGGCAGATCACCACACACAGCCAGCTGCTACGGAGGGAGAGCTCAATGAGCCCTGAGGGCTGCAGATATTTATAAAGTGGTTGATTTGTACTCAGATTTTCTGCTGTGTTCATGCAGCTTTGGACACTTATCAGCGCATTCTCCAGCCAGATTGTTTTTTTGGGGGGTTGGTGCTGAGTTCTCACTGGTAGCCTCACACAATGGGATTAACTTTGGTTAGTCCTGCTTGCTGAGCATCTGCCTGGACCAAAGTTCAGTTAGCTCAAACAGGAGGAGTGCATTCATCACAGAGAGAAAGCCCCTGTAGATAGTTACAGTTAACCTAACCCATAAGGAGAGGCTGAACATATCTGTTAACCATCCTAAAAGATTTTGTGCGTTCAGAACAAGCAAAAGTCCACAGTATCAGCTGAGTCTGAGGTACTAAACTTGCGGCATTCTGAAATGGAGTATCATGATAATTTGCCTTGGTTCTGTCTAAAATTCTAGTTCAATCTCAGGCATGACCCCCAAAATGATAATAATTCTGGTATGA